CCAAATCCGCCATCCTCTTCTGGCGGGCTCGACCTTTGAATCTCTTCTCTAAACAGTCACTCGAAATGGAAATGAGCGCAACAATTATGAAACAAGAGATTCCTCGAAATCCAATTTTTCTTCGAAAAATAAAACTTAGCCGACAGCTTCACGAGGTTGCTTGCTCACTTACCTCATACTTTGGCGAAATAAAGCCAGGATGCCGTTTCGGCGTCTCCAGCCTTCCTGAAAGTCCTGTTGTCCCTTCGAAAGTTGGTCCAAGCGGACTTGCAGGCCTGTGAAAGCCGGAAAATGCCTGGCAAGGGGGTCGGCGAAGTCCGGGCACTCCTTGCGGAAGGGGTTTAATGAGAAGGCTGGCAGCCATTGCTGCCACCATGGCACCATTCTGGCTACCGACGTGGGAGACGGGCACGCAGGAAAGCATATTTATGGTTGAAGCGTTGGCTGCCGTAGTTGTGCTCAGCGTCGGCGTAGCCGCAATCGTGGTCGTTGTGCTGGGACTGTTCAAATGCTTCGTCGACAAGTCAATGCCAGGGCCAGACACGCTCTGCAAGGCTCGACTGTCGGGCAGGAAAGAGGACTCGTGCATGAAGCCGGGCAGTGGAAGTGAATTTTCCCCGCCCAGAGGAATAGATGGTTCGTTATTCCTTGCCTCCGAGGTACATGTTGTGCAGAGAGAAGTAGCAGCGGCGACGGAGGCCGACAAGGAAGAGGGCGAAGAGGATGAGGAGGAAGATGAGGCGGCAACAACGGCAACAGAAGGAGAAAGTGAAGGGGAATTGGTGGTGTTGGGAGAGGAGGAGGAGGGAAATGAGTGTGACAATGAGGAGGCGGCGAAAGCAGGATGGAGTGAAGACTCCTGACGCACTGAGCTCCCCTCCGACACCGGCACAAGGTTGAGGGCTGGTGGAGAAGTTGGGCCTAACAGGCCTGAATGAGTGCCCGAGGGACAGATGAGGTGTCTAGAGAAGTCACCGCCGCTGAGGCTGCTTGTGCCGCTACTCAGAGAGGCTAGCTCGTTCGCACTGACCATTGATGACCGAGGATCTCCGTAGGCAGGGAGACGGTCTGAGGAACCGGTGCCTTGAGCACCGCTGGCTTTGGCGGCTGCTACAGCCGCGGCGGCAGCCGCAAACGCCATGGCCGATTGGAAAGCCCTGGCGTGGTGTGAAGAGCCAGAGGAATGCTGACTAGCCTAGTGGGGATTAAGAGAGAGAAAAAGTGAATTTAGATCGGTTGAGAAGCAGAAAGAAATTGGGTTTAAAAGAATCCCTTCTTTCCCAAAATGATATGAATGGCCTTTGCATTCCATTGAAGTTCACATGGCTTGCCTCCAAGAAGGTAATCTCATCCAGGGCGCTTTCTAGTCTGTCATGGAAGGCCGTTTAAGCAGAGGACAAGTCTTTCGAGATTTGTTCAATTCAACAATGTACACACAAAGACAAGTTGGGTTTCGAGGAATCTCTTCTTTCATAATTGTTGAGCCTACTTCCATTTCGAGTGAAAGTGTTTGGTGGAGAGATTCGAAGGTCGATCCCATCAGAAGGCGACGGTGGATTCCTCTTGCTGAGGCTGTTTCCGAGGTAATCTCCTCAGATTCCAGTAAAAATGTACTAAGATTTCGTCCGTCATACGAAGAACATCATCAAAGCAACCAAATCCAAGCTGACGAGCCAAGAAAACTGGTTAGCTTGGATTTGGTTGTGGCGATGATGCCCTGCTCTGATGATGCTTAGCACCTT